ACTGACCCTTTCGACTCTCACCGACCATCACCACGACCCCATCTGCAAATTTGGTAAGAAGCTTCTACACCATCCTCGACACCGGCTCCTACTACCACCTGAGATCCCTAGTCCGAGAATTGCTGTTCGACACCACAACCGCATCCAGCCCATACGTGCACGAACTGATCGCTATAAGAACAGTCCAGTCCCAACCATTGTAAAAATTATCAATAACTTGTAATAAACCAGTGTATTCACTCCCAGTAAACACTACTACTTGCACTGTCACTATGTTGAAATGAACTGTAGTTTGAGCTTTTCCTCATCTAGTTATTATATGTCTTATTTGTGTCACTTATGTTACTTGTATATTATTTGTAATTCATAACCCATTCCCCAAATATGTAACTGTATATTTTCAGCCTTCTGGCTGCCAAGCTCTTTCAATAAACCGTTAATAATTATTATTATTTAGATGCCCCTATAGTTTGCCACAAGTCAGGGAGCTCGAGGACGTAAATTTATAAGAGTTACCGTTAAAATAAACCCGTTTTGTATGGTGACGCGGCAGTCGGGAACAGGTTAAACAAACACTAACTAATGTCTTTAGTTCTGTAGCGAAATTAGTTTAGTTATGGCTGTGTTTAGAGATAAATAACATATTAAATATCATCTTTAAAGACGCGACTTAGCCTAATAAGGATGTAACACTGATATTAACGCCGTGTAAAGATGGTAATATCTATAAACTGGGTGGCACTTTACCTGTCAGTGTAGAGTATAATGTCAGCAGGGAGTATCTAGGAGTGTCAGCAGCCGTCAGTACATATCAGTCGTCAGCCAATAGGATCCAGTAGTGTTAGCAGCCATCAGTCAGCAGTACACATTAGACGTCAGCTAGCAGTAACCATTAGCAACCATCAGTCAGCAGTACACATTAGACGTCAGCTAGCAGTAACCAGCATCAGAGATAACACGACACACTTTTTACTCTTATCCTCTTCGCCACTGATGGGCTCGCTATCCGCCCGGGCGATCGGTCACGTCTCTGTCACACACTGTTGGCAAATACCGTCTTGTCTCACTCGCCATGTATCGCCTCTATCCCTAGTTCATAACGAACCCTCGAGACCTATCAACGAACCCTCGACTCCACCATACCGAACCACCACTTTCCCAGCTTCCTAACTAACATACACTATTACTTAACAACAAAAGTGTAAAATAACATTAAATAATAATAACTTACTACTTAATAAAACTTTATTACTAACAAATTTACTTAAAAATAATTAAAGAAATGGATTCGGTGTTCGGTTCATATGTTTCGAATCCCTCGGGGGTTTGTTGTTCTATGACGTCATCAGTGGGCGGGGCTTATGAACGAGGTGTGTAGTAATTGGTTGTTGTTGTTTATATAGAGAAAGACACAAGAGTGAGTGAGTGAGAGAGAGAGAGAGAGTTAGAGAAAGTGAGGTAAAACTCTTGTGCTCACCAGGGATCGAACCTGGGACCTTCTGTGTGTTAGACAGATGTGATAACCACTACACCATGAGCACTTGGTGACACAGGTTCGTATCCCCTATTGAGAGAAAGAGAGAGAGAGGGAGAGAAAGTGAGTTAAAGAAAGTGAGATAAAACTCTTGTGCTCACCAGGGATCGAACCTGGGACCTTCTGTGTGTTAGACAGATGTGATAACCACTACACCATGAGCACTTGGTGACACAGGTTCGTATCCCCTATTGAGAGAAAGAGAGAGAGAGAGAGAAAGTGAGTTAAAGAAAGTGAGATAAAACTCTTGTGCTCACCAGGGATCGAACCTGGGACCTTCTGTGTGTTAGACAGATGTGATAACCACTACACCATGAGCACTTGGTGACACAGGCTCGTATCCCCTATTGAGAGAAAGAGAGAGAGAGAGAGAGAGAGAGAGAGAGAGAGAGAGACGACACAGGTTAGTTTAATAATCAAGAAAATGAATAAAACTCAAGACACATTTTATACATTGTTATTCATCACAAGTAAAGCCTTTTTGGTATACATAGATATACACACACACATACACGTTCCTATATGTATACATGTACACATATACACAAAAAAATACATTAATATACATATAATTCTCGTTACCTTATTTAGTAAAGTTCCCCCTAACTTTACTTAACATGATAACAATATAACATGATAACAAGATTGAGTCAACATGATATAATTTAGCAGATAACATGATCATCAATGCTGTTCAGTATATCATGTCTAATATATCACACCGAGAAGGTAGATATCATGTCTTATCAGTCTACATGATAGGATTAAGTTGATATCATGTTTCTCATATCAATTTTTTTTATTATTTACCTATAAACATAGTCATATATATATACGGGTTATATAAGCTAGAATTAAAGGTTTAAGATTATATCATGGTTATGTTATGTGTGTGTGATGGTATAATATATTTTTAAGTATACATATATAAGATACATTGATTTATTACATATATTTTGGTGTTATACATAGATCAAAGTCTCTCTCTACCAAGGCTACACAATCTTATTTCACCTGAAAATTAGACACCCTGATGCTATTTGGGGTGGGGTGGGGTGGGGTGGGGTGGGGTGGGGTAGGGTTCGGTTATTCTTTAGGTGAAAAAACTGTGGGCTCCACTGTACCAGCCTCCACTCTTCCCCGACCATTAATTCTCTTCCCCAGTCATTAAATGTCCTCCCCAACTAGTAATTATCCTCTCCAAGCATTAAATATCCTCCTCAAACATTAAATAACCTCCCCAACAGGTAATTAGTCTCCCCAACCACCTCTAGTCTTCCTTAACAAATACCAAAACATTTAGTATAGTTTGTGCGACAATTTGCTCCGTTTTCTTCTAATTTCAAGGGCTAACTATGCTAAATGTCAGTGTTTTCATGTATGGGGCTAATACCTTGACAATTGTGTGTTTAACTGGTGAAATTAGCCCCAGGCATCAATATATTGGGGTCTATTAGAACTGTGGTCTATTATGTATAGGATCTTTAAGGACTGGGGTCTATTAGGACTGGGGTCTATTAGGACTGGGGTCTATTAGGACTGGGGTCTGTTGGTGCTTAGATATATATTTGGTGATATTGGTGGTAATTGTGGTTATGGTGGTGGTGGAGAAGGACGAAAGAGGCGATAATGGTAGTGTTGGAGATAATGTTGAAGATAATGTTGGAGATTGAACACTTCTTAAACAAGAGTGGTGGAGCCGTTAACTTGCGTCGTGGTTGAGAAGGAGCTAGTTGATGATGACGAAGGAGTGGAAGTAGACGTAGCAGCAGCAGTAGTAGTAGTAGTAGTAGTAGTAGTAGCAGTAGTAGAAGCAGCGCCGTTAGTAAAATTATTAATGATACACTGTCGGTAGAGTACCATTGAGCGCCTTGTTCGCTGTGATACAACTGATCGCTTCTTCTCCGAGGCTGATGTTGTTGTGGTGACGGTGGTGCGCGGAGAGTGGCTGTCTAGTGGGATCTGTAGAGAGAGAGTGAGAGTGAGAGAGTGAGAGAGAGAGTGAGAGAGTGAGAGTGAGAGAGGGGGTAGGTAGTAAATAGGTGAATAAATACCAATACATTCATTATACACACACACACACCCACCACACGCCTACCACACGCCCACACACACCCACCACACGCACCCACCACACACACCCACCACACGCCCACACACCCCACACACTCACCTGCACCAACACACTCTTCCTCCTCGTCTCAGCTGATCCAGAACTGCTTGAATAGATTGAGAACTCAGACGAAGCTTTAGACTCAAGAGAACACAGGTTATGAGCCCTGACAGATGAGTGATAGTTCTTGCAGTTAGAGTCGAGGCGGAGAGGCGAACAGCACGACCTTGACACGAGGATGGCCTGTTGGAGGTCAAACTTGAGGTTAAAGTTAAGGTCATACTTGGGGTAAAAATTGTGGTTAGATTTGAGTATATGAGGTCAAACTTGGGGTCAAACTTGGGGTCAAACTTGGGGTCAAACTTGGGGTAAAAATTGTGGTTAGATTTGAGTATATGAGGTCAAACTTGGGGTCAAATTTGGGGTCATGTTGAATTAATCTTGAAATAATTTGGGGTTAAACACTCACTCACTCACTGACCTTAAAACCAGAACGGAACTTGTCATTAAAGAAGGCGTACAGCACAGGGTTGATGCAGGAGTTAGAGGCGCCAAGCCACTGGGCAATAGGCGCCAATATGTGAATGATGTGGTTCTCCATTTCTGTTGGCGCTACACCCAGCTGAGGAGAGGGAGTATATGTGAGTGGGAGGGGGTGAGAGGGAGTGAGAAAGAGGGAGAGAGAGGGAGTGAGAAAGAGGGAGAGAGAGAGAGAGAGAGAGAGAGAGAGAGAGAGAGAGAGAGAGAGAGAGAGAGAGAGAGAGAGAGAGAGAGAGAGGCTAGATAGACAGAAAGAGCGACACCAAGACAGGAAGAAAGACAGACAGACAGACAGACAGACACACACCTTAAGCCTGGCAAAGATGGCGTACAGAGGCAACCAGGATAAAGCGAACAAGATGACCACAACCAACAGCATCTTGATGACCTTTATCTTAGATCTCTGCATCATCATAGCCACACCTACGTCCTGTTGCTCTCCTGGAAGCTTGCGACGCCACACCTGTAAGAAGCCACACCCTGTTAGTGCTTAGAATATACCACACAATCCTGTTAGAAGCCTCCCACACACCTGTTAGAAGCCTCCCACACCTGTTAGAAGCCTCCCACACCTGTTCCCACACCTGTTAGAAGCCTCCCACGCCTGTTAGAAGCCCTCCCACGCCTGTTAGAAGCCTCCCCACACTCTGGAGTCTCCCACACCTGTTAGAGTCTCCCACACCTGTTAGAAGTCCCCCACACCTGTTAGAAGCCTCCCACACCTGAGCCTCCCACACCTGTTAGGAGCCTCCCACACCTATTAGGAGCCTCCCACACCTGTCAATAAGTCCAACACCTGTAATTAGCTATACATTTCCCCACCTAAAATTAGAGAAAGTACCATTAACTTTCCCCACCTAACAAGAGAGACATTACCCCAACTTTCCCCACCTAACAAGTGAGAAAGTACCCTTAACTTTCTTCAGGTAACAAGAGAAAGTACTTACCTTTCGCCAGATGAGAATGTAGCAGACAGAGATGGCAGTGAGAGGCAAGAGGTAACACATAATAAGATTAGCCAACACGAAGTACAGGTTACCACTCTGTTCATCTGGCCACCTGTCTGTACACACCTGTAAATACACGTACACACACCTGTTAGTTATGTACACATCTGTAAATACACGTACATACACCTGTTAGTTATGTACACATCTGTAAATACACGTACACACACCTGTTAGTTATGTACACATTTGTAAATACACGTACATACACCTGTTAGTTACGTACACACACCTGTTAGTTATGTACACACACCTGGGAATGTTTACACTTACATCTCTTAGTTAAGTACACACACCTGCAGACGTACACACCTGTTAAGCACTACACACCTGTAAGATGAATTAAAGGAAAGGTGGAAATTTTCTTACTCTCTCTCTCTCTCTCTCTCTCACCTCAGCTGTTTCTCGTTAAGCAAAAAAAAAAAAATATTGGCAGAAATTATTTGCTCCATAACACTACACCGTAACACTACACCGTAACACTACACCATAACACTACACCGTAACACTACACCATAACACTACATCACTATAGCCACAAGTATATAAACACTTTGATGGCGCAGTAAAATTAAGGAACTCTTAAGGATATTATTGGAACCCGATATATGTTTTGTGTGTAGGTGGGAATGGTGTGGCTGGGGAGGGTGTGGCTGGGGATGGTGTGGCTGGAGGGGGGGTGGTTGTCTTGATTTGTTGTTGTTTTTTGTGTTTCTCTGTTTTGTTTTTCTTTGATTGATTTTTTTTATTCGTATTTTTTCCGATGATCTTTGCAAAATGCCTCGTCATCATGAGTCAGCATATTCTTTGACAGGTGAGTAACTGAGTATACATTGAATTATTATGTATTTTTAGTGATGTTATGGGTATACATATACATACATACATACATACATATATACATACATAGATACATACATACATCCTTCACCCCCCTTCCTCCCTCGGCTCTAGAACGTGGCAGACCAATCTTGTGTGATATAAGGATAACTAACTATCTAATGACCTTGTTAACGAGTTTACGAGCCGTGAAGTTGTTTGTGCATAGAGGGAGGTGAGGGAGGGGTGTGGGTGGGGAGGGAGGGAGGGGGGAGGGGAGAAGACTCAGTGTTATATTCATAGACTCTCTCTCTTCTCTCTCTCTCTCTCTCTCTCTCTCTCGCTTTCCTTTGGAAGGCTGGGAAGAGGAAAGTGAGTAGAAAGCCAGGTAAAAGAAAGGTCGATAGAAAGTGCCTGTGAGAGGGAGAGAGGGGAGAGGAGGGGAGGAGAGGAGGGGAGGGAGAGAGAGAGAGAGAGAGAGAGAGAGAGAGAGAGAGAGAGAGAGAGAGACCCCTGCTAATATGTCCATATAGAATTTAATACAAGTCTCTCTCTCTCTCTCCTCCTCTCCAGCAACTGAAATTCTATACCAATTTCATGCTAGACTTAAAGACACCATGCTTGATTTAACCTCATGGTGGTGGTGGTGGTGGTAGTGGTGGTGGTGATGGCGGTGGTGGTAGTGGTGGTGTAGTGGTGGTGATGGTGGGTGGTAGTGGTGGTAGTAGCGCCACCACCACACTTCATTTCACCTTTACACAACAAACATGGTCCAGGAATATGTGTGTGTGTGTGTGTGTGTAGTCACCTGTCACACACACCCACACCCACACAATACTCACATGAAGATCGGTCTCCGGTATGGGCTCCAAATTGAAGAATATAGCCCATGGGAGAGTAATGGTGAGGGAGAATACCCAGATAACCACAATAATACTCCTACAGGTGCGGGAAGTGATCTGGCATTTCATTGGGTAACAGATGGCCATGGCCCTATCCACAGATATGGCCACCAGAGTGTTGATACTTGCTGATACACTCACTCCTTGAAGGTATGACATGGCCTTGCAGACGAACAGGCCAAGAACCCAAGCTGTGAGAAAGTGAGATAGATTTAATTTATGGTAGGTTTATTATCATTACATGGCCATTGTTGTATAATGGCCAGTTGGGTGTTGATACTGGCCATTATTTTAGGTACAATATGGCCTTACAGAGAGAGAGAGAGAGAGAGAGAGAGAGAGAGAGAGAGAGAGAGAACACTAATTAACACAGGTACAGGTATTCCTAGTACCTGATACCTACCTGGGTTATGGTCCGTACAGGTACATCACATTCCCTAATTATAGCGTATTACCTGTGTTATTTATCTATCTATCTATCTATCTATCACAGCATTAGGCCACAATTTCCTTCACAAAACTCTAAGTACTTTTATTGATCTTAATTTTGTAATTTTCTCGTAAAAGTATAAAAATCCGGATTGATTTACCAGAACGAGTGTTAGCAATCCGGATTCAACTCTGACGAACGCGAAATGTAAACACACGGATGAGAACTTAGCTTACAGACTCACTTGAAGTTACCACACAAAGATGACTTATTATAATAACAAATAAAACAAAATGGCATCAATACAGCCAAAGACTCTACTACTAATAGGTAGAAAATGTCTCCTATTACACGAGAAATAACACAAAATGGCGTCAAATTCACGTAAAGACTGTAATAGTGTAAGGGGGTGTTAGGAGTTATGGAAGGGGTGTGTGTCGTGACCCGGGAGTGCTGAAGTGGATTAGCTCTCTCCCTCTTTCTCCCTCTTTCTCTCCCTCTCTCCCTCTCTCCAACAAATTCTTTGATGTACATTCAGCGATAAATGAAGGAAAATTGAAAGAATTAAGATAATGTCGTTACGTAGAAGGGAATAACAAGCACTCCTGGATAATGAAGGAGAGAGAGAGAGAGAGAGAGAGAGAGAGAGAGAGAGAGAGAGAGACAGAGAGAGAGAGAAGGGGGTAACATTTTGACTACCACACCACACCACATCCCATCCTACCACACCACCCCACACCACACCACACCACACCACACCACACCACCCAATACTTGGCGTGGGAAGAAACCAACTGTTGCAAAATCGAACTTTATTGAGAATCTATTGTGGACCAGACCTATTGCACCTGTCTGTCTATCTGTCTCTGTCTGTCTGTC